TGGGCGCAATCTTCTACCCCTACGTCTATAGTCTATACCTGTGAACAAAACGAACAGAAGCAAGCTGGCCAGGCTTGAAGGGAGTGTCAGGCACCTACCTGATAGGACCCCTCAATACACGGACTGCCATAATGCCTTGTGGGCAAAACTTGGATGAGTGATGATGATCCAACCAGGCCCTCCAAGCAGGTTGTAAGTTGGCTGACGATTCGCGCATGGTCGGCGCATGGTGTTGCCCACGCCGTCCGGTGCCTTGCTCAGATTCTTAATCGCAGATCGAGTGAGCCTCAAAACTGGGAGCCAAGATGAATCAAGGCTGAACCGCAAACGGCCGAAGTTCTTCCAAGCTGCTTATTCTCAAAGCTCATCTGGGCCACCTGCCAAACCAAGCGGCCAAAGAGATTCAATAGCAAAAATGCTCAGCTCGCTCGTATTATTGGGGAATCGAATCAACCTCTCGCCTGCATGCTCTTGGCTGGCCCATGCAGCTGCATGCAGCCCTTCACAAACCTCACTTGTCCGTTCTATTTTGTCGCTTTTGGGCCAAGCAAACGAGCGGCCCGAACGGCTATGCTTGTCCAAGCAGCTCATCGACATCAATAAGCCCGGTCTTGTCCGAGTCTAAAAGCATGAAAAGCGTCCTGCGAAGGACAGCAGGAATGCATTTTGCATCCAAGGCAAGGGAGTTTGATGTAGCGGCTAGCGGGATACATTATGGAAAAGCGGGAAATGCCATTCGAACTTCTGTATTTTGCATCTTTCCATGGAGCAAACTGTTGATAGGATCGCAAATATCCTGCTGCGAGAACATGGTTATTTTCCTCATTGCGAAGGTGTTGGCACATTCTTTGGAATGCGAGTGAACAAACATGCAATGCCATTGTAAGATCTGTAAGAGTGGAAGCCAAACTTTTGGAGACGTGGACTGCGGATTGGCTTAATTTAAATTAGTGCACATGGCCCATTGAACATAGGAACAAGAAACTGCTAGGGGCTCCTGGCCGTACTCCTAGGAGCAAGAACGCTACTAGGAGCAAAGGGCATCGCTACGAACGGAGC